TGTACATAGAGATGAAAACAATAACAAGTTTTAGGGGCCGTAAAAATAATTTTGAAATTATTTCAGTTTCAAAACTATTGGAAAAGATCATGGATTTGTATGCTTTTTGACATATTAGGCCTATTTAATGATTACTTGACTTGAAATTCGTACATATTGCTCCTTTAATGTTGTGTTTTGTGCGTGTTCTACAAAGTGATTTAAAAATATTTCTTATGTGGTGGTGATTTCAAGGGTTTTGTTAAATCCTCTGAGATGACTGCTGTTGTGATTTAGGGCTATACAACAATAAATTGTATAAAATTGTAATGTTTTGTGTACTAAAGTAAGCTAAGTAAGTAAGCTTTATTTATATACCGCCTTTCACAGACCAGAGTCACAAAGCGGTTTACAATTGTTATTTTTTGGGCACTTGTCCTCTCACTCCACACAGAGATGGGAGCGGGGATTACTACAAAGTGCAATGAAAATGTTTCTTATGTAATTCTCAAAAAGTGACATTGCTTCTATGTCTTTCTCTCCTCACTGTGTCTTTTAGCTTCACATCGGGCAGTGTTTAACTTCTCTCTCTGTCCACCATTACTTTCAATTGGCACAGCAAAGACAAACATAAACGATTAAGCAATGGAAAAGCAGGCCGCAGCGGGACCAACAGTAAAAAGGTGCCGAAAGAAGGCTGTGTTAAGTGTTTTATTTAGGACACGGCGAACAGAGTGGCACCAGGTCTGAGAGCAACGCGTTTTTGAGAATCACATCTGGAAAGCAGGTGTTAGTGCAGCTGTGGACCGAGGCAGAAGTGCAAGGGAAGGGCGCCCTCCACAGGTCAGTATAGAGAATCACAAAAAATAATGCAGGTTCAAAATTGAGGAGTTTGTTTTTGAAATTGCCTAAAATTAAGTGAAGAAAGACATACAACAATAATAGAGGGAATCAACTTAAAGTACGTAAGTAATCTTTATTTGTATACCGCCTTTCACACCCCAGAGTTTCAAAGCGGTTTACAATTGTTATTTTTGGGCATTTGTCCTCTCACTCCACACAGAGATGGGAGCGGGGTCGCCAGTGCAGGAGGGGCATGCCAGACCTATTGTACATGTTTTTAGTGGTAGGGGAAACCTGAGTACCCGGAGGAAACCTACGCTGATCCACTCAGTCACCAGGCCGCCCAAAAGATGTGAACCAATATTCTATCAACAAAAAATAAAGTATGTTTACAAATCTATCTAACAGGTTTCTTGCTCTCAAAGGTTCACGGTTCTATCACTAGTTTTCACGTAGATGTATTTTTTGTCATATCTTCAGATCAGGATAGAAGTATGGGAAAGAGGACCACCCACACTCAGCCAATCAGCCCAAAGCGACAAGTAGTGACTCACTAGTATCCAAAACTGTTCTAATAAGATCTTTATTTTTAAAGAAAGGTGCGTAATTTTGGGAAAGTAAAACTTTTTTCTACAATTATAGAAAAACAGAAAAAGCAATTTTTTTCAAAAATGTCCCAATATATCTGTAAATCTGAGCGGAATGTAAGAAATGCCAACGTCATTTGATAAAATAAACACCACTTTTGAAGGTGAAGGAAGAAACCAAGAAAGTAAGGAAGAAAATTGTTAAAGCAAGGGAAAGGAAGGGCCGCAGTTAGAAATTGCAGACTGAGATGAGTTAAAGCAATTTCTAACTCATCTCTCTCATATTAATGACCAGTCCAAACACAACTGTCACATCCATGGACTGTAAACATTAACAGACACGTATTTCCACCGTTGAAACTTATGTGCCACCACTTTTGGCTGCGAGGGGGCTTTTTCAAAATAGCCGCGAGCAGGAAAATGTGAAAAAACACATTTGCACATGCGTCAGCTGCACTAGCCCCGTTCATTTAACGAGTGCATTCAAAAGTCCACAGCGGCTAAACTAGAAAATAACATAATCCTCTCAACATCGACAGTATCTGAGCCAAGAGCCACTTTTGGACCCTCCTGTAAAGAAGTTTTCTGGAGGAAAGAAGGCGCCATTCAAAGACATTGGGTAATTCTCTACCCCCACCAGCTGGGAGTGAGATTGCAGCAAGTCAGCGCACGTGGAGCCAGGACCGGCCCACACTGCTTTCATTGTAAACACGACAAATGTTACAAACGGGAGGAAGTGAACTCCAAAACAAACATGTACCTTCAGCTCTCAGCCACTCTGCAGCGCACGTGTCATACCCCACTGCATGATGGGGCATGTAGTGTGATTCACAAGTGGTTCGTAGTCCGTGCAGACTATCAGCTTTTTCTTGACTTCGCTGTTTGCTCTAGAGCCTGAAGACAGATCTCAAGATGTTCCTGGGAGCCAAGCCCTCAGGTGGCATCCCAGACACAGACCGTTTAAAAAACTACTCCAAAGACAGACTCACTGGATCCATGTTTTAAGACCGACCCGTTAGTTTGGACTCAATGAGGAGATGGACTTTGAGACTCTCCAGCACTTGTTTGTTGTTTTATGTAAGATAAGATGTGATGAACTTTGATGATCTTGCAATGGAAAGTTTTACACGCCCATTTGGTCTAATTTTCTTATGCCACGTATTCTCTGCCTTTTTGATCACAGTCTCACCCATTGAAACCATTTATCTTTTTCATTTTACCTGTTTTGGGTAAGAAGGGTATGTTGTCATTGATACACAAATTTCTGACTTATTTTGTTGTTATTTTGTTCCTCCTCCGTTTCTTTCATTGCAACCGCTATTTCTTAAGTATTGACTCCGCTTAGTGAAAGTAAAGTCGAAACCGTCATTCAGGCTTTAATTATATTTGTGACTCACTGACATTTTCACTTCACAGGACATTTTGATTACATTTAATCCTCTTTACAATGGACTAAATTTCACTAACAATTTTCTCTTCACGAAACGGTGACAGGTGAGAGTGTGTAGGCATTTCTCTTGAACCTCCACCTGCGATTCATGTCTTTGCACATTCCAGGACGTCTCAGATCAGGTGTAATAAGCTTCAGTTTGACGTGCCCCGAAGTTGAACTGTAGAATCTGCATCTGATCCTGACGCAACCGCCGCTCACTACGATGGGTCAGACTGCTGCCCTCAGAGGAGCTTCTTCCGCTGTATGTTCAGTTACTGTTTGGATATTGTATAACACTTTGATGCAACTGTGGTTAAAGCTGAATTCGTTCATTACAACATATGCGGGAGATGGTGCATTTCCACTGGAATCTCATGGTCTCAAGGCTGAAGCTGCCAGCACTGAGGAAAATGCTGATTGGAGGTCTCCATTCCTCCAGGCTGTATAATAGATAGATGGAAAGATAGATAGACACTTTATTGATTCCTGTAGGAGAAATGCAGGTGTCCAGTAGCAGCAAAAACACACCTATCCACACAAACAAAACAAATAATTAGATAATTCTAAAATAGCTTACAATAATGTCAAAATGCAACAGGACTTTAGGTCACAGCAGCAGAGGTTGAGCAGCCGCTTGGTTCGGACCATTTCCTCTGCTCTGGTCCAAATTGAAATGCTGACTAGTAATAATAATACAAATATCTACCTTATTGATTCCTCTCTCATTGTGGATCTCCCAGAGGTTTATCACTTCTCTCCCATCGGGATTTAGAGTTTTTCCTCTGATGTAGGAGTGTGTTAGACTGTTTTAACAAGACTGTGGTGATGATCCAGGACATTCTACTACATTTATGGACATCTATCAACATTCTTGCACATTGGTATCTCCCTATGGACCAATGCCATGTGTTTTATATTCTCTGTGTTTGAACTGTTTGATTCTCGAATCTGTGTTGACAAATTAAATGGTTTTGTTAAGTCCTGGGATGACTGTGATAGGGCGATACAAGCATTTATTTAATTTAATTTAATTTAACACTACAAATATAATAATAGTAGTTTTTTTTTATATTGCATCTAAATCTAAGTCACGTATCACATAAATAACATCAATCAAATCTATTAAGTGGTTTCTATGAAGAGCCAAAGACGCTCCATAAACAGGTAATAAACTTTTAACCACTTTTGAGCTGGTAATCTATCAAACATCTGCTTACAAAGCTGTATACTGTTACTTTTTTTTGTTTGGACTTGAATGTCCCACTCTGTTAGGTAAAGTTACACAAATTAATGTTGAAAAAGAAGAAATAACAGGTGAATGATTACAACCATGTGTATTGTTACGATGCATGACGAAAGTTAGGCCTCTATCATGTACGAATCAAATACTGATTTCATTTTGCTGCATTGTAAGTATTTCATATTCCCTTATCGTCCACAATTGGATGTCATGGCTGTCAGCTCCTCTTTGGTCTCAGTGGGGGCCAATGGGAGCTGATAGGAGCCTGCTGCAAAATGTCAAAGGTCACATCATGTTTCTCCTCCATGTTCACATTTCATAGTGTTCTTGTTCAGAATCAAATGTTTGGACATGCCGCTTGTTACTTTGCTTCTCACGCAAATTCATGTCTGAAGGTTCATCGCATCGCATATTTACTCAGCTACAGCCAAGAGGAAAAGGAACCAGGAAGGAACTTTTTTTCTATTTGTATGTGTCCTTCACAAATAATAATACTAGTGATAATAATACTAATAATAATAATAATAATAAAAACAATAAAAACAATAGACCTGGACGAAGGGTGACTGGTCATGTGACTGGTCCTGTGGGGAAAGAAAGTCTGAAAGGAAGTCATTTGATTTGGACATAAAAATAAATATAATTGAATATGGTGCATGTTTGAGTGGTGGGTGAACTGGAGCACCTGGAGGAAACCCACAAAACTCAAAGATGTAAAACTTGACAAAACCAGGTTCATGTATAAGAACTGACCCATCTCCGGTTTGTGTCCACACAGAGGTCCTCTTGGAGCCAGATCCTGAAAGTACCAGGTCATGGGAAGCTGCAGCTCTGGATAGAAATTACGCTTGTAGTTTTTTTTCTGTTTTTGAAGGATGTTTGTAAAATGGCAACCACTATGACCACATGAAGCCCTGTCATGGGCAGTGCACCATGGGCCAAGGACAAGAGGCGTGCTCGTTTTGACCGGGGCTCTGAACCACACTGCGACAGAAGTGTGTTAGCAGAGAGAGGCATTCAGCATCACGCTACAAAAGATATGTTCTCTGGCAATCCACTTTTATCAAACATTTACTGAAAACATCTTCAATATACATCTCTATCTATATCAGTGATATTGCTGAGTCGGGTGAAAACACAATGGATTAAAGCAAAGGAAGGTTTCTCGCCCATCATCTGTACTCCTCAGAAGGTTTTCCCGACATATCATCATTCCCTTGAAAAAGTGCATTGGATTAAGCACAAAAAATCGGGAAAACCTGCTAAGAAGTACAGATGATGGGTGAGAAACTTTCCTTTGCTTTGACTAATCCTTTTGACAGAGAGCTTACACAAACAATAGAATAAAGTTACTTAAAATAGATTTTTTGATATTTTCAGTACATGCTTTTAGTTACTTTCCAACACAGCTGTATCAAGGTTCCAAGCAACACCGAGCCTTGGTAATCACAATTTGAATAAAGGAAAGCAAAAAGATCCCTTTTAACATGGAGCCCTGTGAGTTACTATTTGACGCTTTGAGCTGAGAGCTGTTTGGCTCTCGTACCTGGAATACTAGCCTCCAGTGTTTCTGTACCTGGGATACTGGCCTCCTGTGTGTCTGTACCTGGGATACTGGCCTCCAGTGTTTCTGTACCTGGGATACTGGCCTCCTGTGTGTCTGTACCTGGGATACTGGCCTCCAGTGTTTCTGTACCTGGGATACTGGCCTCCTGTATGTCTGTACCTGGGATACTAGCCTCCAGTGTTTCTGTACCTGGGATACTGGCCTCCAGTGTTGCTGTACCTGGGATACTGGCCTCCAGTGTGTCTGTACCTGAGATACTGGCCTCCTGTGTGTCTGTACCTGAGATACTGGCCTCCTGTGTGTCTGTACCTGAGATACTGGCCTCCTGTGTGTCTGTACCTGAGATACTGGCCTCCTGTGTGTCTGTACCTGAGATACTGGCCTCCTGTGTGTCTGTACCTGAGATACTGGCCTCCTGTGTGTCTGTACCTGAGATACTGGCCTCCTGTGTGTCTGTACCTGGGATACTGGCCTCCTGTGTGTCTGTACCTGAGATACTGGCCTCCTGTGTGTCTGTACCTGAGATACTGGCCTCCTGTGTGTTTTACCCTGGTATACTAGCCTCCTATTTGTTTATACCTGAGATACATATTTTTTTGTACCTCGGATACCTAGGAAACAGGCCTCCAGAGAGCAGCATCAGAGACAGACTGAGCCTGTACATTTTATCTCATCTGTACAATTTTAGAATGTCCAATGAACGTCACTTTAGCTACTTTATTTATTCTAATAATAATAATGCATCGGTTTTATATAGAATTTTTTTGGACACTTAAAGACGCTTCACATGTGTCATTATTCATTCACTCCATACATGGTGGTGATCAACTACTACTGTAGCCACAGCTGCCCTGGGGCACACTGACAGAAGCGAGGCAACCAGCATGTGCCATCGGCCCCTCCGACCACCACCAACCATTCACACACACACCAGACTCATTCTAGGCAATGGGGGTGAAGTGTCTTGCCTAATGACACAACGGCAGTTTGGCACTTTACAGCCGCAGCCGCCCCACTGTGGCTGGTGTTCCCAGAGGTTAAGTGTCTTGCCAAGGACACAACGACAGCAGACAGTGGGAGTCGATGGTGAAAGTCGGGCTCGAACCCCCGACCCTCTGGTTCAAAGGCCAATGCTCTACCAACTGAGCTACTGTCACCCTATTCTGCCATATCGCTCTAACTTACAATATATATTTAAAAGCATCTAGCATTTAGCCTAGCTTTAGCCAGCTGCTTTGCCACTAACAGAGCCCATGAGGAGTAGAGTCACAACATCTTTGCAGAAACGACATTTGCCAAACATTCCTCTTGCTCCGGTGTATATTTCTTAGTATTAGGAGCTGAACCAGAACGGATTACTTAACTATCGCATTCGCCGCCATTGACAAGCTAAAACTGGCAAACTCTGTGCAAACTCTTGACATCACCAACACCTACATACAACACCCACCTCCCCCGCTCACTGATTCATCTGAGGGGATTCAACCGAGGAAACTGCAGCCACTAGGATCAGACCCAGACGTACATGTAGGAAATTATAATGGACCAGAGTTTACCGATGGCTAAGACCAGGCTAAGAACAAGATTTGCCAATGGGAAAAAGCCAGTGTTGCTTTATTTCCTTATTCCAAGAAAGAGATTTCTTGTATGTTTAAAACAAGATCATTTTGCTTCGTCCCATTTAAAGCGGTCAAAATTTGCCAGATTTGAGCAATTTTTTATTTATTTTTCAGGCTCTACTATCTTTATATTCACCCCCCTTACAGCAGTAGCTCAAACTAACCTCCCACGTCACTTAAACATTTTGCACACGACTCTTGTTGACGTGGAGCCGGTAATCCAAAGGGCAGTCGAAGGAGCTTTTTTACCCCCGGTTCGGGCCTCCTTCTCTGGGGTTGCTATCGTCCCACATCGCCCCTGCTCCTCTTGATGTGGTTCTGTGGACATGACTGGACCAAAGTGATCAGATGAACTGGGACATCTGAGACCCATTTAGCCACAATTAGAGAGAGAGGGAAGCATAGGGCCGTGTGTATCCAGATGTGTGTGTCTAGATACTACTCCCCACAATCACTTACAGACACCAAACGCTTCTGAAGAATTTCTCTCAACACCTAAAAAACAAGGCCGTAAAACGTTTACAGTAGAGCTATTAGGCCCACTGGGAAATAAGTCGTCTTGTGTTGTGGATTTTGTTAAGTTGCTCTGTGCGTTTAGGAGTTTATTTGGTTGGAAAAAGGAAGTAAAGTGGAGTAATGTGAAAAGATTTAAAAGCCACTTGGTCTTTATTTGATGTCTTTTTACTGTGGCTGGTGTCATAATAACAAAACAACAAATAGTTTTCCATTGAGAACAAAGGAATCCCATTAGATCTGTAATGCATGGGTGGAACTCTTAATTACCGCTAACAAACATATGTACAAAATAAAATGTCTGAGGGGGAAGCAGAAAATATGGTTTTCTGACTAGGTCCAAAACCAGGGGTATAATTTATTTGCTTGGAATAAATCTCAATATTCTATAACATGTGCAATATACAGTGCCTTGCGAAAGTATTCGGCCCCCTTGAACCTTTCAACATTTCGCCACATTTCAGGCTTCAAACATAAAGATATAACATTTTAATTTTTGTCAAGAATCAACAACAAGTGGGACACAATCGTGAAGTAGAACGAAATTTATTGGATAATTTAAACTTTTTTTACAAATAAAACACTGAAAAGTGGGGCGTGCAATATTATTCGGCCCCTTTACTTTCAGTGCAGCAAACTCAGTCCAGAAGTTCAGTGAGGATCTTTGAATGATCCAATGTTGTCCTAAATGACTGATGATGATAAATAGAATGCACCTGTGTGTAATCAAGTCTCCGTATAAATGCACCTGCTCTTTGATAGTCTCAGGGTTCTGTTTAAAGCGCAGAGAGAACCATGAAGACAAAGGAACACACCAGGCAGGTCCGAGATACTGTTGTGGAGAGGTTTAAAGCCGGATTTGGATACAAAAAGCCAAATACAAGACCATTCTGGAAGAAAACCTGTTGTAGTCTGCAAAAGACCTGAGACTGGGACAGAGATTTCTCTTCTAACAGGACAATGATCCAAAACATAAAGCCAAATCTACAATGGAATGGTTCACAAATAGACGTATCCAGGTGTTAGAATGGCCAAGTCAAAGTCCAGACCTGAATCCAATCGAGAATCTGTGGAAAGAGCTGAAGACTGCTGTTCACAAACGCTCTCCATCCAACCTCACTGAGCTCGAGCTGTTTTGCAAGGAAGAATGGGCAAGAATTCCAGTCTCTCAATGTGCAAAACTGATAGAGACATACCCCAAGCGACTTGCTTGTAATTGCAGCAAAAGGTGGAGCTACAAAGTATTAGCGCAAGGGGGCCGAATAATATTGCACGCCCCACTGTTCATTTTATTGTTTGTTAAAAAAGTTTAAATTTTCCAATAAATTTTGTTCTACTTCACGATTGTGTCCCACTTGTTGTTGATTCTTGACATAAAATTTAATTTGTATATCTTTATGTTTGAAGCCTGAAATGTGGCGAAATGTTGAAAGGTTCAAGGGGGCCGAAGTCTTTACTGGTTAAAAAATTGTGGTTTTTTTCAGTTTTTTTCTGTTAGATTTTCTCTTGGTTTTACATCGGCTGAGTTGTTTGCAATCTTGGGTTTGAGTTCCGGTCAGAACAGGGCCTTTCGGAGTGGAGTTTTCAAGTTCTCCATGTGTCTGCTACGTTTTCCTCCGGGTGCTACGGTTTGCCCTTCCACTAAAAACTTGCACGATAGGTATGAATGTAAATGAGAGAGTGAAAGGATGGTGTTGATAGAGGCTTTGATGGACCAGTGCGTTCGGCGTCTCGCTTCCGTCAACCCCAGGTGTGGAGTGATTGGAACAAACTCTGAACATTGTAAAGCGCTTTGGGTGACCTTGGTCTGTAAAATGTCCTATATATATAAAAATAAGTTTCTTTTTCCCCTTGGTATATCTTTTTCACTCGATTCAAGCAATTATTACCATTTGATAATGTTTTGCAGTGTATCAGACCAGAACTGCAGCCCTCAATGTGATTTTATGAGGCCCTCTGGCAAGACAAATTTATTTATAAAGCACTACAGAAGCAACCCAGGATGCTTAACAGGTGCAAAAAGAACACTGGGAAACAGTAAAACATTGTGGGGAATAAAAACACTAACAATTAAGAAATATAAAAAACACATACATACAAAAGCATAGGTCTGCCTTGTTTACCCAAAGTATAGTCTTTGAGATCTTAAAGACAGTGTCATCCAGCCACCTTCAGCACTGAAAGCTCTTTTTGAATGAATGACTATATTGTAGCTGAGGGAATAAACATTTGTCATTCAGCCAACTTCAGCACAATCAGCTGTGAGTCAATATAGAGACATCCTATTTCTTTTTACAGTTTAGAACAGTCCAAATCCAGCCAATCTGTAACGATTTAGTGAACTAAAAAAGCCCTCTCAATAAAATGCTTCATCTTTATGTGAAACTGTGGATTCTTCCTCTTGTTTTCAGGACGCCACAATGATCCCAATGCAACTAAACAGAATTAAAAACAGCACAATCTATGACAAAAGGTCAGTGTTGCTGATCAAAGAAATACATTCAATTCAAAAGTATGGGTCTTGTGATGTGCCAAAACTGTTTGATTTTAAATGCTGTAATTTGATTTACTTAAAAAAGTATAGCAAACAAATTTATGAAATATTATATAAACCATTAACAGCCATCTGACTTCAAGCCCACTTATTAAGTATTCTTTAAATTAATTGAAATATTAGGGACTTTACAAAACTTTCAATTTCCCGACGAACAGATTAGAGAATCAGACATTCATAAATTAGGAAATTGTTTTCAGTTGCATCTGGTCCAAAGGCTTGAAGGATGATCAAGCTGATGAAGGATACATGTCCTTTGACCTCCTATAAAAAACAAAAACAAAACGCTTTTGTCTCATTTATTCTCACTGCTATCGTAACTCATGCACACGCCCATGTTTACAATACCTCCGAGAAGTGATTTAAACTCCCAACTCTATAAAAAATAACTCAAATCTGAATGCGATCGTGGGTTCACATGACGGCAGCACCTGTTGTGAGTTGGAGGGGTCACTCTGATCCTTCTGGAGCCACATCCCGCTAATAGACAGTCTGGGTTGGCCTGGTTTGTTTTTCTTGGATGAGTTCTCGGCGCTGGTTTGGAGGACTTTGGCAATTCACACGGGAGAACTGCGGGGTGAGAGCAGATGACGGGTAGAGCTGTGTGCAATGCTGCCCTCTGCTGTTTGAGTACGGTATAACATGGAGCTTTTGGTTTTGTATTTTTTTCTCTTACTAGGTTGCCTGTTGATGGAATTGCTTTCATTGATCAAAAGCTTTTTTTAAATTTACAATACAATCCAATTTATTTATATAGGAGAGTACTGCACATGTAAACCACAGCAAGGAAAACAAGCGAACAAACATATTAATAATAATATTTAATTCATATTTTCTTTCATAACCTTCAGGGTCAACTCGAGACTGCAACTCAA